TATAACTTAAGAGTTTTAATAATTATATTATAACTATAACGTCGTCAGTATCTCAGCAATCAAGGCTGTGTTTTTATTGTAGAAATATTGAAGGTGAAAATATTGAAAGATATCGAAAACCGTGAACAAAGTGAGATAATATTTCCTAGATCGTGAAATCAATGATATTCGTAAGTAAAAGATACAAGGAATTCTAATCTAAAAAAAAAAAAAAAAAAAGAACTAACCAAGCAATAACTTATCTGTGGATTTTTATGCACTTATGCAAATTTTAAAGCACGTTGCACAGATTGTAATGTGAAAAGAATATGTGAAATATATCCAAAGTATTCAAAACAATTTTCTACCAACGTTCTGCCTCTTTAATTGTATTTCTCAAATATGAAGATTTGCATCAAAATCCGTCGCAGCTAGACGAATCTCGGGAAGTTCCTTCCACAGTCTCATTAATAAAATATAGAATTTGACGATGTAAATTAATCGAAGGAACTGCAAATTAAAAAAACGTTGCATTTCGCCCCGTAAACGCACCGAGTGTTATATTTAATTTTCTGTCGCGTAACCAAAAATTCGACACACTTTCTATTATCCCGTTCGAATGTTCAGCTTAATAAAATCCTATTTCCCTTCTTTAAACAAGTGGCCACTGTGAGCTATCGTTCGGAAACAATTTGAAGTATTAGCCAGGCTAAAAGATTTCGAAGGCGCGGGACTATCCAGGCTCATTGACAGAGGAACGATCGGCGGTATTCTGAGATTCAAAGCGCAAAAGTGCTCCAGCTCGTGAATAGAAATGAACTTCCGTGGAAGTCGTTACCGCGAGGCTGATGGTATTCCTTTGCCTTCGATCAGTTCTTGCCGAGATTACTCCTTTCACCAGGGAACATTCCAATTTCTCTCTCTCTTTCTTTCTGTCTTTTCTTTCGTACTCCCTTGGCCAGAGCTTGAGTTCGAACATCCAGTAATATTTTCCTACTCAATACACACTTCTTTTCTTTTCTTTTTTTTTTTTTTTTTTTTTTCTTGATTTTCTATATCTCTGTCTATATGGGTTTTATGAAGAAAGAGAACGAATTTTTCTGAGGGAGAAATAACGAGACTTTCTGTAACTTGTGTTGGCTCTTCCCGTTGAAAATGAATAATATTAGGTTATATATAATATAGGTATAATTTCACGCAGTTTAAATCATTATTCAATACAAATTTCAGTGATCGATGAATCACCATCAAAGGTTTGGTAATTTATTACTTCACGTGTGTACATTACTTTGCATATATTTAGTTTACAGAAGATGAATCCCCGTTCCAATTAATTCAGACACTGTATTCTTTGCCATTCCAAAAGATACTACACACCTAACATTTACTCCGAAATATCATGCCATGCCTAAATACCATATCATTCACCGAATACCCAAATATTCCCAAATGTTTAGGTTCGACCTAAATAACAAAAGACGTAATTTTTACAAGTGATCTAAGCAGCATGAAAATTTAGGAAACACGAAACGAACAACGTGTACCGATTTCGAGTCTGTCGCGCATTGAAAACCAGAAGGAGAAAAAGAGAAGAAAAGAAAAAGCAGAGGGAGAAGCAAAACAAAGACATGCAGAGTGCCGATCCTCGTCCCGATGAAGGATCGAGGCTTCTCCTCGAGCTGCGGAGCGGGCAAAAAATGAAATCTGACGGCTTTCTGAAGAGAGAGAAGAAAGCACGCAGCGGCGTGAAATTACAAGTGTCTGGCATCGGTCACAGCCTGCTCGCGCGATCCTCGACGAAATAGGGAAGCAATTGGCGTGAAACGAAGCGTGAAGCGTCTGCTCGGTAATCAGCGAACGAGCAGACGCGACCGTTTTGGTCTTGGGGGATCGGGCCTGGCCGATCGCGAGAGATCATACGGCCCATTTGCGATCCGCTTGCGCTCGGTATCAAACGAATGAACGACGAAGGGAGGTTCGATGGACGAAACGACGAAACGATGGATCGCGAGAGGATACTAACGTAGCTCGCCTTCGACCGCTATCGAACCGATCCTCTTATCTAAAGTGCGAGTACAACGTTTCTATTCAGTCGCCTATCATCCTCTCTCTCTTTCTCTCTCTCTCACTCTCTATCTCTCTCTCTCTCTCTTCGTTTTTCGTCGTCTATTCGCTATTACCGCTCGAGGCAAGGCACTTCGCACGATCGTAGCTACGAGTCCGTGAAAACGGAATTACTCTGAGCCGAGTGTGGTATCTTTAGATTGGTATTCGTCGCAGAGACTCAGTAGTTCGTTCTGACGATGGTTCGCCGAATTGAAAGCTTTGGGATCGTTTTGTTATTCTGGGTTACTTTTATTCAGAGTATAATAATATTTTTTAGCGATGTATAGTGAATTTTTTTTTTTTTGGAGGAGGAGGGATGTAATGTAATATCAGACAAAACAGTAATGCTATATTGCTAGATATTTTGTCTGAAAAAAGGGAGAATTTTCTCGCGCTCGTGTCTGTGAAATTTATTTTTCATCGACAGAGCGTACGGAGCACGATGCCGAGGTTCATTTCTAAAACACTCCGTGTGCAACGTTCGTTTTTCAAAAATGGCAATCCAATTTCCCTACCGGCGTCAGGTAGTCGTTAAAAAAAAAAAAAAAAAAAAAGGAAGAGAGGAGAAAACAAGGGGGAAAAGTCGCGGAGAAAAAAAGCAGAAAGAAGTCACGGCGCACCTGTCCCCCGTAACGTCGTTCGCATTAATTCCAACTAATCTCACAGGATCGTAAGGAGTATAAAGAGTAATGGTACGTGAGCAGCCTCTCTCCTTCGACGTAAAAGGGATGTCGAGATAGGACGTGGAGCTCGTTTCACTTCCATCTTTATTGAGAGATGGCGGACGTACGAAATGAAGTGAATATATAATAACCGGTTTGTTGTATAAAAGCAACGAGTTACTCTTCTAGTTAACTTTTTACCAGAAAAGTGTCTTAATTGCGAGATTAATTATTCTTTGTGATTGATTCTTCTATGATCATGATTTTATTCTTCATAGCCATGAACAATAGAAAATAGAATACTTGGATATTTGTGAAGAATAATGTAGAATTATGGAATAAGATTTTCAACTTGATGTTCGACTATATGTATCTTAATTACAAAATTCGTTGCAACGATTGATCCTTTGA